TCCGTTTAATAAATGATTTAGGTAAGAAGCAAAAATTAATGTTAAAAAACGAAAATATGTATTAAAAATATAAGTAAACAAACTCTTAATCTTTTTTCAACTCATTTCAACACATTTACAAATAACATAAAGATTTCAAAATGTCATTTGATGACAAGAAAAGAAAAAGAAGCCAACAACAAAATGCTGATAAGGCTGTAAAAGGGTAAGTGTTTTAAGGATGGTGATGGTGGTTGTTGCCCATCACTTGTTGTCACTCTAGTTATTGTTAAAAGAATGGTGTTGTTACTCTAGCTAATATTATTAAAATAAATGCAAATTAATTATTAAATTTTCATTGATTTTGTAAACAACATTTTATATTGTTACAAAAAAGGATGTTAAATGAATGTATAGAGAATGAGGATAAAGAGAATGATGATATTGACATAAAAGTATAAATTAATATTTAGTGTTCAATATTGTAAACATTGTTAAATATATGTATCACTATTCTCCATAATAATCCTTTTAGAAGCAGAAAATAAAAAAGAAATTGCTGCATTAAAACAGCAAATAAAAAATACAGGTAATGAATTAAATCATATTAATACAAGAATTAATGGCATTCATGAGATTCATTAAAGGGTTACACATCAAAATCAGATGATCAATACATGATTTTAACTTTTTTTGATTTTTACAATCTTTTTTATTTTACTTTTGCATATATTAAATTTATTCTTTTCCTTCTTATGTCTTACAGAAAGTGTAGGACTAAAATGTAAAAATCAAAGTAAGTTTATTATTTACTACAGACTATGAAAAAATCATTTTCAGTATCAACTTTATATTATTTAACACTCTATTTATAGGTCAGGAAGAGAATTTAACAAAAGTTCATAGAATGGGTCCTCCATCATCAGTTGCTACACATTGTGAATTTTTCAAACAACAAAGACAAGAGATTATTTTGAATGGTCATCCACCCAATTGTATTGGTCCACCAATTTTCTTATATCACGAGGTTTTTTCAAAATTTTCTTCTGATTTCAATAATCAAAATCTTGATTTATCAGATGGACTTTGTACATGGACAAG